TGGGGGGGGGGGGGGGTGCAGGGGAGGGAGAACTTACCGTCGATCCTTTGCACGAGCTCCTCTAGTCGAAGCACCATGCGCTGCAGCCCAGGCTGCATCGCCGTGTAGTGGTCCTGAGAACGTTCCCGGTTTCCACCACACCCAACGCCGACAGCGGTGCAAAGCAAGAGAGATCGGCAGAGGAACATAAAGCCAGGATAGAAATCAGGTAGGCCGGGAGGCCGGCGGACGAAGACTAAACCCGTCAAACTCTTGAAAAAAAAAAAAGCGCAAATACTTGCGGGTCTAGATACGCGTCGAGTAGGGGAGTATCTGTCACAAGTGGACGCAAGTGGACGCTCGCAGTACGAGCGACACCATCACTACCGCCGCGCCGGCACCAACAAACAAAAGACGCTCGTGGCTGCACCTGTATGTTGTCGAGGAGCTTGGTAAGGCACCAGTAGACGTCGGCCTCCACCTCGTCCAGCAGCGCCTCGTCCACCTTGCTAACGTCCTTGGACTCAACGGACGGGCCTGCGCGCGGGGAAATAACACGTAGTGGTGCCGACAGGGGAGCAGCTCAGCAAGGGGAGCGAAAGGAACCGAGTTGACGTACAAACGTCGTGGGAAAGGAGGTGTCGGCGTAGGTTGACAGCCGGGTGGGTGGGTGCGTGCCGTCGTAATACTAGGCAGAATCAAAAGCCGTCAAGAACAAGTGGCACTTGAGGCAACTCTGAACGCGGCGGAAGTGGAACAACTGGAAAAAAACGAGCGGTACAAAAATCGCGTGAGATCGAGCGTGTTCGCGGCCGCCTGCACAAACCGAAAACCGAAACTCAAGAAGCGCGCCGAGGCGCGCGAGGGGGGGGGGTGGTAGTAAGGGCCCATTCTTACGCCTCGCATCACTACCCGGGCTAGAAAAAAATACCATGGCACCAGGTAGCTTTCGGAAACACCGGGCCGACTCTGTGGCTGCTGCCGGCAAAGTACAGCCGTCATCAACCGAGCCAGTTGGGAAGGGGAGGAAGCGACCGTTACCCAGGGGGGAAACACGCCTCACCAACGTGTGCAGAGAGAAACACGACGTAAAGGGGGGTAAGGAGATCATTGATTCCTTGCACGTAGCCGCTAGCGGGATGTCGGATCGCCCATATGTACAGTATCCGCTCCATCGCACGTTGCACCTTCAAAGTTTGTCAACACAGACAGGCATCGGCAGCGGCGGCAGGGGGGGGGGGGTTGGGGTCGTGGGGCGCGAACCGGAAATGATGGCAGGGGTGGGGGCAAGACGGTTGCCGAGAAGCGGAGTAGACCTGACGTACCTTATAGTAGCACACCAGAACGCCGAGAAAGCGCAGCGAGGCACCCTTCGTAGAGAAGAACAAGCTTCGCTAAAGACGTTCGAAACGCTTGAACGTTCCCATTAGACATTGCCATACCACAGAAAGCCGTTTAGATAACCCGGCGAGAAACTTATCCACATCAGAAACCCATGAACAAAATGAGGAAGAGAAAGAGGGGGAGAACCGCCTCACGGAACCCTGCTGTCTATTTCAAAACTCAGGGCGGTCACCCCTTTCCTTGCACCTTGTCCTGGTGAAAAAACGGCACGTCCGGGCAGGTTCGCGGCACGTCCACCAAAATCTGCCGCAGGATGTTCTGCTCCTGGAGGCTTCGCGCGGCGTCGGGCACGTCGAAGTACTGCGGCACCGCCTCCCAGTACTCCCGGCGCTTGCGCTCCAGCGCGGCCTCGCGCCGCGCCCGGTTCGCCGGCATGTACCCCACCAGCAGCTGCCAAACCGCTGCCCGGTGGACCGGCGGCACCCCGTTCCAGCTCAGCTTTCGAAGCTCGTCGAGCTCGACGACCTCCTCGCCGAGGACGTCTTCGAACCGTTTATCTCTGTAACTCGGACGGGTGGCTAGCGCCGGGGCGGCGGCGGCTGGTGCCTGCGCTGCCGCAGGAACCCCGCCGGTTGCGGCGGCAGGCGTCGGTGGTAGTGGTGGTGGTGACGGCTTGGATTGCTGTTTTGTTGACGCTGATCCCGCTCCAATTGCAGTTGCTGCCGATAGGGTTTGCGGTGAACCTGTGGTTGCGTTCGGGGGCCGGGGGGGGGCTGGCGACGGCGACGGCGGCGCCGAGATAGGGTCGGCTTGGGGGCTTCCAAAGGGCGAACCGCTGCTGTTGATGCTGCTGCGGGCGCCGGAGCCGGACCCAAACGGTGTTCCTCCCGCAGACCCACCGCCGCCGGGTCGGTTCACGCCCCCAGTGCCCCCTCCGCCGCTTCCGGTTAGCTCGCTCCAGCCCTGGCGGGTTCCGAACGGCGAGAGGTCTTCCGCCGTCCCGATTCGACGCCCGCGGTCATTCTCCGCTGCGAGAAGATTGTGTTGGGTTTTTAAATGCGGGGGATTCGACATCAAGCAGGTCAGGGCAGCTGACTTGTATGCGGTAGGAGGCGTAGCGGGGGACGTTGACCAAGGCAGGAGGGGCGGAAAGTAGCGCCAAAGCCCTTGGAAGGCAAGGCACTTAGAAGGCGTTTGTGGCCCGAGAAATACAGATATGCCGCTCTACTGCAGAGCCGATCATCCTGCCGCTACAGCTGCTGCCGCAGGACTTGTAGATCGGTGCAACTTCATGCACAATCTAATCCTCCCCGTCGAATCTCTCCGTTGCGCACACAGCAGTTCGAGTCGAGTGATACACTCAACGCCTAGATACCCATCTGCGTCAGCGCTTCCTGAACACTTGCTGGCGCAAGAAAGGCCTTCACAATTCAAACACGAACAACGAAGGGAGTGTGTGCTCTATCGCCGAACGCCCGTGGACTAGACTATGCATACAAGTGGCCGAGTTTCCATCGCCCTCCACAAAAGCGCCTGCATATACCGAAGCGCTTACCGTTTCCAGCACCAGCACCAGCACCAGCACCAGCACCACCGCCATTCACCCCTCTTCTTTGTGAGTCTTCGTCTGCCACCGCTGCCGCCGTCGCCGCCGCCGCTGGACGTGAAATATCTCCGCTGTTGTTGCGCGGTTGCAGTCGCGATGTTCGGAGAGAGCCGGGCACCGCGCCGGATCGCCCAGGACCTGCCCACAAGCGCGAGCTCTGCCCCTGGCCGAGGCGCTTGAAGAAGCTGTCGAGGTTAGACACCGATCCGGGAGACGATGCCAATGGTTTCTGCGGCTCTGGCGGCGACCCTTCCATCGCGTTAGCGCGCGCTGCAGGTGTCGATACACCGCCGACGGCCGAAAGCACACACGAAAACCCCCCTCTATTTGCAGGTGCCTGGTGTAACTTGCTCCGCAGCAAAAAGGGGGTTGTATTGTTTGTGTGTCCTTCGAAATCCGAGTTACTTGACCAAGGAGGCTATTGTCGTGGACTTCTCTCCCGTTGGGCAATGCTGCTGTGGGTTCCGCTACCTTTCGTGCCCGTGGTAGCTGGTAGAGCTGGCTGCTGCTGCAGTTGTCTCCGCTGGCCCTTTTGTGTAGCGACAGCTGTAACGAGACTGGGTGATTCTCTCGCACTTTTTCCTGTCTGAATCAGTCCTAAACCGGGGTCCACCTTCTCTCCTTTGATACCCAAGCCGATGGAGATCCTCCCTTGATTCTTGATGCGCAGCAGGACGACCACTACCACAGCAGCAGCAGCAGCAGCAGCAGCAGCAGCAGCAGCAGCACACAGAGGTGGTTGATGGAGTTCACACAGGGGGCTCCGTGAAAAGAGAACGCGGTACACCTCTTCTCTGGTAGTGACCGCCCCCAGCCGCCGCCTTGCTGCCGCGGACATACCAACCACGGTTACACAGCTCCGTTCATTATCGTCCTCCAGCCCTGGTGAGTGTGTGAGCTTGAATACTGCAGTGTGGCCGGTGCGCATTGCGTTCATGCGCTGGTGGGCCTTGCATCGCTCGTGCAAGTCTTCGCTTTCTTCCTTTCGGTATCGCAAAACTGAGGGCATGTTTGTTCCGCATTCTCCAGCCCCTTGTTCGACAGGCGGTGTCTGCTGTGATGTGTGTGTTGGCTGTCTACTGAGGCTGTCCTCCCCCGCCCGTTCTATCCCTCTCACCCGGCCCTGGGCAGCGAGATTTCTGGAGAAACGCTCGAGAGCGTGCAGCAGGTCGTTTCGTTTTGCAGCCTCAGGGCGTGGCAACAAAACATCCGTGTGTGTCACTTGTTATCCGTTTCAACACATTTTCTCTCTCACGCCTTGTGTTCTGTGATCTATTCTTGTCCCCCACACTACTTACGCATACCACACCTTTGCTTTCATGCTGTACTGTAGCACGCAGCACGAGCATGAGGGGAGTGTTTCTGTCTTTCATTAGGCTTGTCTCTTGTCCGTACATGTTACACGCTTGCACGTGTTTTGGGGTGGCAATGATAAAGCCCCGGATGCTTCTTCGTGGTGTCTTGGCGTCTTGCCGACATCGATCGGCTGAAATCGGCGCAGTAAGACGCTGAGAGCAGTCTGCTGCTGTGCGAGATGGTTTAGAATCCAATCCCAACGTGCAGAAGCTGTGTGTACAAGTTGTGTGCATTTTGTGATGTCTCTCAATCGAAAGCTAGGCACGGCTAGCACCGGTTAACTCTTGACGCTATCTTCGAACCGTGCTGCTCACTCACAAGGGGTGCACCCCCCCGCTTCACGTACCAAGTACACTGCTGTTTGCGCCCATGCTTGTACTGCTGTAGCGACTTGCGGATGGATAAGTGACCGGCGACCGACTTGTACGGTTAGACACGTGAAGAGAGAGGGAACAGGGGCAGAGAGAACGAAGTTTCGAAGGGATGCAACTCAACCCGACTAATAGAAAACACGACAAGAACAGCGTTGCACTGGTGAACACCCAACAGCAGTTCGTGCCCACGAAGGGGTCGGCGCACCGTCACACACTTCGCCGCCGCAGAAGGCACTGGTTGCAAACGAAACAGAAGGCTGAATGTATGTAGACCACGATCGTGATTCTGGTCCTGCCGTATAATGGCAGGAATCCGACGTAGGGCACACCGCCTTGTTGCCCGCTGGCACGTCTTATGCAGCGTTCGCTGTGGCTTTCCCAGCGCTCCTGCTACGAAGAAGATTATTATAGTGTTTGTTTCATGGGGACTACGGTAGCTCCCGCTCCTCGAATCTAGATTGTGATACGTACAACCTATTGTAGTCAGTAGTAATGAGGCCTCCTCGCACCTCCAAGTGGACAGCACAAATCCACTCGACCTGTTCTCGCTCCGTTGGTTGGAGCTTTCAGGAGTACAGCAGAGTCTAATCGGTTTTTCGGACCAAGGTACCGTAGTTTGCATACGTAAGATATCACACCCCCTGGAGCGATTTCAAAGCTCGATTACTCCACGACGAAGAGGATGCCGAAACTGAAATATACGTTTTCGGAGAGCTTTCGACGAGACGGTTCCAACGCCTCCCGCCATTTTCGGCACCGCCACTGCGTTTCCTGGCGATGTACAACATCGAGTTTCGAAAATCGGTCCAGGGGGGGTGATATCTTATGCAACCTACGGCATGTATGAAGTACGTCATCGTGCTTTCCGCCTCGTGCGGGTCTGTGAATGATGGAGAACTTTTCAGTTCCAACTAAACGCGCTTGGGGTCCCACATGCATGTACGGCGACTACTGCTGGTGATGGTGGTGAAGCTCCCTCTTTGGTGCTGCTTTCCGCGGTGCAGCAAGTAGTGCACACTTGTGTAGGCGTTTGTTCTCTTTTGCTGCTTCAAAATGATATCCATGCACAGACAGCGATGACCGCCGCCCCTGCTGTGCTTAACAAGGACGCCCTTGGACTCCCGAGGTAGGCTTTTCCGCAGATTCTCGTGCGCGACGTCCCTCCTTCGACACATTCTGTTCCGTCGAAACGGAATGAAAACACGCAAACTGTTCTCGACCTGTAACGTTCTACTCCTCATTCGTTTTGTTTTGCCTCTCTGCAGCACAACCACAACGCCCACCGGTGGAGGAGAAGACGCTAACTACCTAAAAACGGCGTCGTCCCAAAAGCAATCCGGCGCCTGTTCGGGTGGCGCACGGCTCCTCCGTTTTGTGTTTCCTGTAAAAAGTAGTGGGCAGGTCTTTTCAAGGGTGGGGCGGGGCGACCCAAGAAACAGAATCTGGAGGGAGCGAGGGAGAGAGAGGGAGAGAGAGAGAGAGAGAGAGAAAGAGAGAGGATCATAAGCTACATCGAACGGGGCAAGGCGTGAAAACTCCCGGAGGGGGGAGGAGACGACTATCGGTGACCAAGAGAAGAAGACGGAGCTAGAGCTTCACAGCACAGGGCGAGATACCATACGCACAACACCATGTCGTTTCTCAAGGAGCTGACGGACAAGGGCGCGACCATCGCCTGGAGCACCGTGGCCGCGCACCCGAGCCTCATCGCGCTAGGCACCAAGGTCAGTCGGCCAGGAGTTTGTAGCAGCGGTTTATTTGCTTTTTTGAAGGGTAAGGGGCGCGGCAGAGGCTACTAGAGCCGTGCACGGCCGGCGGGGGGTGTACTCATGGCCGTGCATGCCGTAGTCATTGAAACATTGACCTCGCATCCCTACAAAGCCGGGACGGAGCACGCCTGGTTCTCACCGGACCAGGCTCGCACATAGCCAATCCCGAAGCGCCGTGAGGTATTCGGGGGGGAGGGGCGAGATTTTTTGTTGTTTTGCTGGAGCGTTCGACCATTGCCCCCGCATCTCTTTGGGGATGGGGTACAACAATTCTCAGTTCTGATCAAGACGCGACCAATGTCCGGACGCTGGTACCGTCCACACGAAGTCCTTGCTTTCGTTTGCATCCTTTATTTTTTTTGTTTTTGTGGCCAGCATGGGGGTTAGCGCAAGTTAGCGGGGGG